TCACCTGCGATTCATAGCGAACCTATGTACAACAGCTCTGAAGCCTGTCCTGTCCTGAGCCAGTCTCACTGACTCCCACACCTACTCCCATTGCCCCAGTTACTGTATCAACTGAAATCATCTGGGTTCTTCCTCTTCTGTGCTGTGCCTTCACCCTTCCAAGTATGATGGCCTTCTGCCACTATTATATTATAGAGATCCTGCTATTTAATTGTTGGTGTGTGTTGTCGAGTCGCTTCCAACTGATAGTGACCCTATGTGCAACAGTCCTAAACCGTGTTCTATCTCTTGCCAACCTTACTGTCTCTGACACACCTATCCCCATTACCCCAGTGACGGAATCAACCCATCTCACCAAGAGTCTTCCCCTCCCGCACTGTTCCTCCACCCTCCCAAGCATGATGTCCTTCTCCAAGGACTAATCCCACCTTGCAACATGCCCAGAGTATATCAGACGGAGCTTCAGAATCCTTGCCTCCAAATAGCAGCCTGGCTTTACCCTCTCCAGGAAGAACTTGTTTATTCTCCTGGCGGTACATGGTATATTCAATACTCTTCTCCAGCACCAAAGCTCAAAGGCATCAATTCTTCTTCTTTCATCCCTAGTCATTTAATTACAGAATTTAGTTAAATATTTGTGAATTGATTAGATAAAAATAAAAATGTAAATGTTTCAAAGAAAGTAAAGAAATACTTTGGATAAACTTGATAAAGAAAAGTATAATAACAGTGCCCTCTGTATTTCTTAAATCTGTGGAAAGAATCATTGGGAAAAACTCACTATGTGCTGTGACAACAAGGCCAGGGGCTGATTGTGGAACAGACTATCAGCTACTAATATGCAAGTTCAAGTTGAAGATAAAGAAAGTGAAATAAAATCCATCAGAACCAAAATTTGACCTTGAGTTTATCTCACCTATAAGGATGGCACAGGAGAAGGATTCAGATCTATTGTTCATAGGATCACTATAATTTATTATGTTGTTTGTTGTTGTTATGTGCCGTCGAGTCGTTTCCGACTCATAGCGACCCTATGTACAACAGCCCTAAACCCTGC